CACGTGTCCATCACTGACGACCCCATCGCTGACATGTCGCTCGCTGACGTGTCCGTCACTAGCATGTCCGTCGGTGGCGTGTCCATCACTGACCTGTCCATCACTCACGTGTCCATCACTGACGACCCCATCACTGACGACCCCATCACTGACGACCCCATCACCGACGACTGCATCGCTGACATGTCGCTCGCTGACGTATCCGTCACTAGCATGTCCGTCGGTGGCGTGTCCATCACTGACCTGTCCATCACTCACGTGTCCATCACTAACATGTTCGTCACTGACGTGTCCGTTACTGACGTGTCCGTCACTCTCGTCGGCGTCACTGAGGTCTTCGTCGGTGACCACTCCGTCAGAAACGGGCCTATCGTATGCTTCACTCAGCACCGTTTCACTCATGACGCCTTCGCTGATGACTCTATCGCCTTTCGTGCGATCGCGTTTCGGTCGGTCGGTGTCGGGAGCGTCGCTGGCGGCTTCTTCAGAAACGAGGCCCTTGTCCGATTCCGGTTCGGTCGTAGCTCGGGCGGAGTCAGGGGCCACGCGTTCCTCGGAGACGACTTCGGCCACGACGTGATCGTCGCTCGAATCGGACAGGTCATGGTCTTTGGAGACGACCTTGGCCACGTCCTGCTCGTCGGAATCTGAATCCGATACGAGGCGTTCGTCCGACGGCGAATAGGGGGCCACTGGGTCCGAACGATCATGCGGTGAGATAGCCGGCTCCGAGTTGGTCTCCGCCGGCACAAGACTCCCATTCGACAATGAGCCTTCCTCCAGTCCCCCCACGTCCTCCACCACCACCTCAGCCACCGCCTCGCCCGCGCTGCCGCCGCCTGCCGTGTGCGCCGGTGTTTCCTCTCCGCCGTCCGCTCCCGTATCAGAGTCGGCTTCACGACCAGACGGCACACGTAACGTAGGCGACTCCGACCCTCCTGAACCCCGGTTCGAACTCCGATCCGACCCTGACTCTGGCCCACTAAAAACGTCATGCCCCGGTCTCCGGTCCTTTTCCGGCTTCCGATCATGCTCAGGTCGCCGCTCCCGGTCCGGTCCCAGGTCATGCTCCAGTCTCAGGTCATCCTGCTCCGTGTTCCGGTCATCCTGCTCCGTGTTCCGGTCATCCTGCTCCGTGTTCCGATCATCCTGCTCCGGCCTGGGATCATGCTCAGGCCGCCGGTCCTGGTCCGGCCTAAGGTCATGCTCCGGCTTCCGGTCCTGCTCCGGTTTCCGGTCATGCTCAGGTCGCCGTTCCTGGTCCGGTCTCAGGTCATCCTGCTCCGTGTTCCAGTCGTCCTGCTCCGTCCTCCGCTCATCCTGCTCCGGTTTGAGGTCGTGCTCCGCCCTCCGGTTATCCTGCTCCGGCCTGGGGTCATGCTCAGGTCGCAGCACCTTCCGCTCCGCGGAGCTGCGGTGTCTGCTCACCACGTCGTCGCTCATCTCGCTAACGACGTCCCGGTCGGATTCCGAGCCATCCCGCTCGGACACCGAGCGGTCGCCGCTCCGGTCGCTGCTGGCCGCGTCCGTTGATGTCCGCCGTTCCCAAGTCGGTCGGTTTGTCTGGACGGGTCCGAGGTCCCGATGATCTGCACTTGACTCACTCGCTTCGTCCGCGCTCAACGCCGCGGCGTCGGAGTCCACGCTCACGCCCAGACGAGCACCGTCGTCCGACTCGCAGCGAGCAACCTCCAACCTCCGGTCGTCTTCTTCTTTTCGACGACTGACATCTTCTTCAACATCCTCAGCACTAATCCTGACGGAAGGAGAGTCTGACCCGCGGGCGTCATCACTATCCGCTCCCTTACCGTCAGCTCCCTTCGAGTCGGGTTCCTTTGAATCGGGAACCAAGTCGGACAAAACACCCTCATCACTTGTTGCTTCAGAGTCGTCGCTGCTTACCTCCGTACGCCGGCTGGTAGAGCCTCCGCCACTGTCCCGGGTGGGGTCAGCATGGGTGGGCGGAGTAGGTTCACGGCCGTCGATTTCGGCCACCGTATCTCTGAGGTCGCCTCCTTTTTGTTGAGAGCTTCTGTCGGGCAACTCTTCGGACGACAGCTCGCTGAATTCGTTCTCTTGCGAGCCATCGGGATTGTGTTCCGGGGTAAGAGGGCTGACTGTTTCGGGATTGGCGGTTTCGGGGGTAAGAGTTTCTCCTGAGCTCGGGACTGTCACGCTCATGTTCGGAGCCTCGTCAGACAGCGTGTCCACGGAGACAATCTCGTGGGCATCCCGCAAGCTAGGCATGTCTCCGATCGACTGGGCTGAGTCGCCCAGCCCGTATCCTTCCAAACCGCTCGGTCTGTCGCCTACGGAAGGCTCTTGTCCTCCCGCGTCTTCGCAACCAGGTTTGCGACCGGGCTTGCGACCAGCCTCACCGCCTTTGTCCCCTTCTTCCTCTCGGTCTCCCGGCCCGTCACCTGGCCTGTCTCCCATACTGGCAGAATTACGATGATCTCTCGCATCGTCCGTGCGCCCAGGGCGAGAACCCGTCTTCCCAAATTCACGATCTACGTCCGTGCTCTCTGACTGAGGCTTCTTGTGACCCCGCTTCCCAGATTCACGGCCCAGCTCGCCATCCTCACGGCCTGGTCGAGGATCCTTGTGACCAGATTTGCCAGACTCACGGTCGATCTCACCATCCTTACGTGCTGGTCGAGTATCCTTGCGACCCGGTTTGCCAGACTCCTGATCTACCTCACCACCTTTGCCCTCACGATATAGCTCGCCATCCTTACGGCCTGGTCGAGT